TCCCTCTCCCTCTCCCTCTTCCTCTCCCTCTCCCTCTTCCTCTCCCTCTCCCTCTCCCTCTCCTCCTCTCCCTCCCCATCCCGCCCCCTCTCTGAGGCAGCTGTACTCTGGGAGTCAAACATGATCTGGAAATAAGTCTCTGGGCTGCCTGCTGGAGCAAAGGCAGCTAGCAACAGCTCTTATTTTTTTCTGCCCAGGCCAGAGACCTGGATAAACCTCTTGGGCTTTCTTAAGCCACCTTTATTAGGTAGGGCACACTGGATAGCAAGTGATAGATGCATGATTACAGAGTGGTTAAAAGCAAAGACATGGGGACAGGCTCCTAGCACATAGGACTAACATCCTGTGCATGGGGTACTGCTGAATCCAGATGATCACCGTGTCCTCAAGGACCTTCTCCTCCTTACTGGGGGGTGGGGGAGTCTCTTGTTTGGCTTCACTGTCAGGCAAGATCTCATAAAACAAGCCAGAGGCAATGCCACACTAATATTGTTGTGCCCAAACTCTGAACCCCCAAATCACCAAGAGACCCAATCCAATGCAAAAGCAAGAGTTTAATTTTACAAGTTAACTCGGGTTCCCCCTGTTCATCTGTTACAAAGGATGAAGCAGGAGGACCTCCAGCAGCAGTGGGGCAGGGAATATATTGGAGCAAGCAGAATGTCTGGGAGTCTGTTAGTTGCATAGCAACAGCCTCAGGATTGGTACACCTCTGGGCTTGAGCAACCTGTCCTGTGTTGATTGGTCAACTGCAGCTGCAGGAAGGTTGCTATGCCTAGAGGCCCTCCCAGGGGCGGTTACTAAGATCTACATTCCATTGTTATTGGTAAAGCACATCCAGAGTCTGCCAGATAACTTCTGATTGGTTCCTTGGCACATGCAGGGTATCTGGCTCTCTGTGTTTAGGGCAAGATCTGGCAAGGTTGGGAGCCCAGCACATTGTTACTAAGTCAGGGGTCTATGTCTTGTGGGTGTTTTTTGCAGTCAGTCATGACTGCCAAAGCAGGGGACTGGGTGAGGGCCTGGGCCCTTCAGGATCACAGGATGCCAGGTACCCACAACAGAAAGTAAACCTTTCACCACCGTGTAAGACAAGTCCTCCATCTGGTGGAAGTCACAGGAACCTTCCAGTGTCAACAAATTGCTTTGGTTGACATATACACCCATCTTGGAGGAGGGACATTTAGGTCTGCTGGAGGTGGGAGCCCCTCTCACCAGAATCACATGGACAGAGAATAAGCAAACTTGTCCCTCTTCTCCCTCAAACCATAGCCCTGTTATTGGGGGCAGGACATAGCTGTCTAGGAGGCAAAATCCACAGATACCTCAGCCGGTGTGCCATGTTTCACACCTCTTAGTAACACTTTGTTTTGTTTTTTAAAAGACACCCACATACTGCAGTGGTGGGTATCATTTTCCAAAACAAGGAAGAAAAATAATGTGCCTCTACAGAAAGAAAGTGGCTGGATGTAGGTCCCAGTTCTAGGGGTGGGAAGGTGTGTGTGTGTGTGTGTGTGTGTGTGTGTGTGTGTGTGTGTGTGTGTGTGTGTGTGTGTGTTTAGTCTCCACCAGCATCAGGCTCTACAATCAGCTCCACAGGTGCCTTTGTCCTGGGCCACCCTCACCCCCATCCACTCCCAACTCCCACCTTTTCCCGGACTGTTTTACTGTCTTTTGTAATCTTCAGTTAACATCTGTGATATTTTATCTGTAGTAAGAAAGATTTCCTTCTTTTTTTCTATCCTCTTTCTCTCTCTTTTACCCTTCTTCCTCTAAGGGTTGAATTCAAAATGGGTCCAAATAACACGATGGTGCAGAAAGGTTTCTTATACTATCCTAGTGACTTTTTAAGCTGAGATTAGTCAGGGATTTGTATCCCTCCCTCTGTCACTCCCCCAGGAGGAGGCTTCTCTTTCCAGCACTTTCCTGGCTCAAAGCCCTGGGTCCATCCAGGAAAATCCTGGATGAAGCCAGTATGACAGTTCAGGCTGAGGGAGGGGTTGAGAGTTCAGGGAAGGAAAACCTGCTACAGCAAGGTCAGAGAAAGGAGGGTAGAAGTGAAGGCCAACTTTCCCTGTTGTCTTTGGGGAGCTCCCTCCCCCATCTTCAAGTGATTAACAAAGCACACTATAGGAGGAGGGAGAGTCATTACATCAAAATCAAGGCTTTGGTCCCTTTCCCTACTTAGCTTTTACTGCAAGTTTGAGAACTGACAAAACGATTAGAAGACAGTTAGGGAAGGAAGAGAGGCCAGGGATAGGGTTCAGCGGTACAGTGCTTGCCTACCAAGCAGGACCAATCGGATACAACTCCTAGTATCACACATGTTTGGCAGGGTTGGGATTGGGAGGAGAGTGGGGGAGTAAAGAGAAAGCAAGCAAAGGAAGAAGCAAGCTGTCTTAAACTGTTCAAAACTGCAGTCTTGCATACAAAGACAGGAAACCTGGAAGGAAGATCTTAAGCCAGAGAAGACAGAGGCCCAAGTCTCCGGCTCCCCCAGGACACTCCTAAGGAAGGTCTTCCAGACTCTGAGTCTGCACTTCATCAGAAAGCCACTTGCAGGCTGGAGCAGACAGCTATTTCCTTTCCAACACAGGGGTAAACCAGAATGATTACAAAGGCATTTACTTTTAAAGGCATTGAGATGGTGGGTTGTAAATCTGCACAGAAGAAACTTTTGCTGATTTCAAGATCTCTATTGTGTTTATTTCTCAAGCAAATATAGGTTGTCCCATCTGTTGACCATGTAGCTCTCCTACGTGGAACTTACTATGTGTCCTTTCCAAAGAACTCTCTATAAGGAAGAGCTCTGTCTCTCTCTGTCCTAGTTAGGGTTATCAATGCTGTGATAAAACCCCATGACCCAAAGCAACTTGGGGAGGCAAGAGTACAATTCTCAAGTCACAAGTCACACAGGAATACAGACAAGAGCTGAAACAGAAGCCACAGAAGGGTGCTGCTTACTGGCTTATTCCGCATGGGTTGCACAGCCTGCTTCCTTATAGAACCCAGGACCACCAGTCCACAGTTGACACCATGTACAATGAGCTGGACCCTCCAGCATCAATCACTAATCAAGAAAATGACCTGCCAACTTGGCTATAGGCCAATCTTATGGAGACATTTAGTTTTTTTGTTTTGTTTTAGTTTGGTTTGGTTTTGATTTTTCAAGACAGGGTTTCTCTGTGGCTTTAGAAGCTGTCCTGGAACTAGCTCTTATAGACCAGGCTAGTCTCAAACTCACAGAGATCCACCTGCCTCTGCCTCCCGAGTGCTGGGATTAAAGGCATGTGACACCACTTTCTTAATTAAGATTCCCTCTTCCAGCAGGGCATTGGTGGCGCAAACCTTTAATCCCAGCACTCCAGAGGCAGAGGCAGGTGAATCTCTGTGAGTTTGAGGCCAGCCAGATCTGCAGAGTGAGTTCCAGGACAACCTCTAAAGCAATACAGAGAAACCCTGTCTCCAAACAAAAACAAAAACAAAAAAACAAAACAAGATTCCCTCTTCCTGAAGGGGAGGAAAGATTGTAGGCGTCAGAGGTGATGGAGGACACCAGAAGAACATGGCCTACTGAATCAACTAAGCAGGGCTCACAGAGATTGAAGTGGTGAGCTGAGGGCCTGCATGGGTCTGCACCAGATCCCCTGTGTATATGTTATGGCTGTTAGCTTGGGGTTCTTGTGAGATCTGTAAAAGAGTGGTGGGTGTGTCTCTGATTCTTTTGCCTGCTCCTGGGACTCCTTTCTTCCAACGGGTTGCCTTGTCCAGCCTCAAAATGAGTGCTTTTGCCTTGACTTACTGTATCTTGTTTTGTCCTGACTGGCTGTCTCTGGGATGCCTGTTCTTTTCTGAAGAGGAAATGGAGAGGGAGTGGCTCTGGAAGAGAGGGGACCTGAGGGGAGAGGGACCTGAGGGGAGGGGACCTGAGGGGAGAGGGAAACTGTGGCCAGGATGTATTGTATGGGGGAAGAATCTGCAATTTAAAGAAAAAAAAAGTTCCATCTTCCTGAGGCAGAAAGTTTGTAAGAGCCAGAGAACCAGGGAGTTTGCTGTGTGATTGTATCTCCTTGCAATGTCAGAAACTACTCTCCTAAAGTCTCATTGTAGTGACTGCATAAAGAGCTAAACAAGGATGACATCAATAGACATGCTAAAGTGACAAGGAAAACCCAAGATCAACCCCACACAAATAACTACAGGCAACCACGTAATGCTGAGAGCAGAAGAAATAGACCCACCAATTAGTTACCCAATTCCAAGTGGTCAGCACTGAAAATATACATACAAGTAACATTATACAAACTGAAAGGCTATTTAGAAATATATATATGTGTGTAAACATATATAATATATATAACAATAATTAATGGAAAAAGGCCATAAATTTGAAAGAGATAGGGCCAACAATGGGGTTGGTTGGAGGGAGGGAAAGGAAGTGAAAATAATTATGTTATAATTTCAAAAGATTAAAAAATAATTTTAAAAGAAAAGATTCCCCCTACCCAAGTATGTCTAGGTGGTGTCAAGTTCACAAAAGCTGACTGGCACAGCCATCTCACCAGCCTCTTTGTGGGTCTTCTTCTGAGATAGTTATTTTCTTTTTACAAACCTCAGAGTCTCATTAAATTTCCATCATCCCCCCCTTCACTGCTATCACCATCTTGATCTTCTGTGTTGCAATTTTTAGTGGTAGGCTGGAACGCTCCATTAATTCATCTTTCTATTATTATTTTTTTAAAAAATGCCTGAGGAAAATCAGCTTATCGAGAGAAAAGGTTTGTTCAGGCTCACAATCTCAGAAACATCAGTCTGTGATGAGTTGGTCCCGTTGCTTTTGGGTCTGTAGTAAAGGACCATATTAGAGCAGAAGTTGGCACAGTTCCCTCAGTCACCTGATAGCCAAGATTCGGAGGAAAAGAAAGAGGCAGGGACCATAGTACCAAAATCACATTTGAGGAAATATGTAGTGGCATCTTGCCTTGCCAGTGAACTTGCCGTGGTTCCACTGAGGCTCGAACCCAGAACCTTCTGAGCATAAAGCAGATGTGATAACTGCTACACTATGGAACCAAGTGTTTTCCTAGTGAATACCTATTTATCATTATCTTGTGTCTGGTGGACTCATTAAAACCCCACCTTCAGGAACACCCCCAAAGACCTAAACATCTGCCAGGAGGTCCTACCTCTCAAAGTTCCTGCCACACTCCAATGCTGCCAAGCTGGTGACCAATGAGGACATTCCAGATGTAGATAACAGCACTAAGTGTCAGGGATATGTTAAAACCTATTTGTGACATAAGCTCTTCTGAGGAAACCAGGAAACCAGCCTTGGACTAGGTAGAATCTTCTAACAGTTACCTAGCTCCTGACACTGCACACCTCTGAAGCGTACATAGCTCACAGGGTTTGCAAGTCACATTGTAGACATCTTAGATTTATTTATTACAACTTCCAGCAGATGGTGTCTTGTTCTAATATATTAGTATGCAAATGACGGTCTTTTTAACAGATGGGATTAAAGTGCTTTGAGCAGAATTGGGTGTAATTTTCTATGCCTCTTTTTTCCAGTTTTGCAGATCAAATCAGGTGCTTGAATATCAAGCAAGCACTCTATCACTGAGCTACACTGAGGCTCAAGTGCTCCCTCCTGATTAATAAACCACGCCATACAAGTTAGCAGCAGCCATGCCAACATGTATGAAGCAGCAGAGGCTCTCCCATGGCTATTCCAGAAGGAAACAGAATCCTTCTCCTTGGAAGGCATCCCCTCACTCAAGCAGGACCTTGCTGGGGTCAATTTAAAGTTGTAACACCCTCATAGTCACCACATACCAGGAAATGCACCTCTGGCTGTGTCTATCAGGAAGTGTCCAGAAAAGTGGTCTCTTGCTTACCTTTCTGTAACTGTGCTAAAATGCTGCGACAGAAGCAACTTAGGACAGAAGGGTTTCCTTTGGCACAAAGTTCAAATGCATCATCACAGCATCGGGCACTTGACACAACTGGTCACATTGCATCTATGGCCAACAAGCAGAGAGAGATGAACACTGACACTCAACTCCTCTTCTCCCACCCCCAGGCACACACTGCAGATCCCAAGCCAGGGTGTGGTTCCACCCACAGTGGGCAGGTCTTGTTGCCTCTACTAACCTAATCAAGATAATCCCCAAAGGCAGGCCCAACATCATCTCCCAGGTGACTCTAGATCCTAGCAGGCTGCCAACTGAGACAATCGAAGCGTCATCGGAGATGGAAACACAGATGTGGGCGGTATCATCCCATGGTTCCCAGAGTTAACAGAAAGAAGGTGAGGAGCTGAACCCTGGTGTTCACCTCTCCCTGCTCCCTGAATGCAGGCAGGCACAGTGTGACCAGATGCCTTATACTCCCACCGCCATGCCTCCCCTTCAAACTGTGATCCAAATAATAAACCCTTTCTTCTTCAACTTGATTTTGTCACAGCAACAAATAACAAATACAACAAGTTCATAGCTAAATAAGCTCTTAGGGAATGGGGCCCAGCCAGAGAAACTGGGTCACTTCAGGTATGCTTCCCCCATCCCACCACCCTCTGTCTTTCCTTCCAGACTGCCACAGGGGAACAGTATCCCTGTGTCATGTCTTCCATCCCCATGTTGCTACCTTGTCCCAAAGCTTGTGAGAATGGAACCAGCCAACCATAAACTGAAATCTCTTAACTCATGAGCCTGCTATGCCTTCTCTAAGTTGTTACCCACAGATGTTTTGTCACTGTGATAGAAAACTGATTAACTTGGTTGCTATAATGAAATATTAAGAGGTGGGACTGTGGAGAGGTGATTGGACACTCTGTCTTCATGAATGGGGCAGCCCATTCATAAAAGTGATGGTTTGCTGGATTAATGGGTTGTTTCAAGTGTGGCTTTGATATAAAAGGAGCTCTCTATGGCTTGCTAGCTCTGTCTTGTTATAAGACAGTCACCTTGAGATTCAGAAGAATAGTTCCACCAGCCACCTCATCTTGAACCTCCCAGCCTTTAGAACAATGAGCTGTGCAAACCTCTATTCTCTATTAGTTTGCCTGTGGTATTCAGTTACAGCAGCATAAAACACACTATGACTATGATCTTATGCAAAATGCTAACCACAAAGGACTCTAGCCAGCTGCCGCTGCCTAGGCCCTGTATGCAGGAATTCATGGAATGATGCTCAGAGGGCCAATCCATAGGGGTGGCCCTGAGATCTGCAGTGGAGCACATCCTGGCTCCACTTTCTTGTGCCCCTGAAGAAAAAAGCCTTTGATCTTGAAAAGGCTCTGTAGTCCCTGAGGTGAAAATCTGGGGCAGCATGGGGAGACATTTTGGCATCTGCAAAAGTGTATGCATGTGTATGTGTACAGTGTGTGTGTATGTGTGAGTGTGCTCTGTGTGTGTGTGTGTGTGTGTGTGTGTGTGTGTGTGTGTGTGTGTGCATGTGTGTGAGTGTAAGTGTGCTGCACATGTGTGTCGTGTGTGTTGTGCTCTGCTGTGTTGTTGTATGACAGGGCCACAAGTAGTTCACACTGATCAAAAACTTAGCAGCCATGGGTGACTTAGAGTTCCTGATTCTCCCACCTCTACCTCTCAAGTTCTGAGACTACAGGCATGGACCACCACCAAGCCAACAAACCCTTCCTTTTTATGATTCATTATGCTTTGCAATTTATTAGTCAAATGTTGGATTATATTTACAAAGCCACTAATTAGCTCAAAAAGCTCCCCCTGTATTACTCCAGTTCATACTGACCCACACCTGGAGCTTTGCTAGAAAGTCAAAGAATACACATTAATAATTATCACCTTCAACACCTGATACTCCATCAAGATGACAGTAAAGGAAGACAAGAGAAGAAAAGAATCAACAGCTAAGACACTGGAGAGACTGAAGTGCTACCTTTAAAAACACAGAAAGCACCTGACCCAGAGGAAAAACAGACAGTCCTGAAGAGTCAGGTCGAGTAGTCAAGCTGTCCCTGAACACCTACTACTTCTGCAGCTGTGAGGTCTCCTGACCTGAAAATCCCATATGTCTATCCACTCACAGCCCTACAGGCCCATAATCCCATGTTCTCATCGGTTCCTTTACCCTCAAGGGTGTGAAAAGAGCTGGCCACAGAAAGATCACTTTGGAATGCTGGGTGTGAAACCAGCTAACTAAGGAGCCACTAGCAAGCCTGTATCGCCTTTGCCCTGGAGAAAATTGTTATCTACATTGTAGTGGTCAGACAAAACAGCTGTCCCATGATCTATGGGAGTCAATACTTCTAACTCCTAAAGTTGTTTGCTAAATAATGCTGAGAAGAAATTCTATGGAAAAATGTGCAAAACCACCAAAGAATGGCCTTTGGACATCTGTTAGTATGATAGAGACAGATGGAAAAGAGAGGTGGAAGACTAAGAGGTTTTGGGGGGAGGTTGTTTGTTTTTGTTAATTGGGGGATAGGCATGTCTCAGCACTGCTCCAAGCCTGGGTGGAGAAAAGAGTCATATAGAACCTTTCCACCCCCTCAACTCCTACAATCACTATAGGGATATAGACAGAGTAGAGACCGGAGACAGGAGTGTCAAGACCCTGTTTCTTTTGTTCAGATTCATAAGCTAACCCTATTGACTTGATCTTTTCACACTCTCTTGAGTTAACCCTTCTCAATCTGCTTCCTCTGGTCCATTATTTCCCACTGGGATTGTGTGACAGGCCATGGCCAGAATTACTGTAGGCCTGATACCATCTGTTTTCTCAACCAGTATACTAAGGGGGTCACAAGATGCAGAAGACAAGTAAAGCTAGGAACCCACTAAACAACCTGGAAGTTCATTTTAACCAAGAGATTAAAAGCCTGTCTTATACTCAAGTCATGCTGCATGACTTCATCTCCCACAATTCATCCAGGAACAGGGCTGTTTAAGGTCAAAACACCAAGAAGATGGGGTCTGAGGCACTTTGAAAGAATGTCAACCCTCTTGAATCTTCAGTGTCAGGAATCAGAGAGGAAAAAAAATATATCCATAAAAGAAAGAAGCATGGAGAACAAGAAATTCAAGTTGAAAACCTAGAGCTAACACTGAGGGATTTTTCAAGCCACCTGTAAAATTTTCCAAACACCTCAGAGCCAGAGGCTGGCCAGCCCAGAGAGCATGGGCTGTATGTTTGCACAGGACACATGCATAAGATGGTCTCACACCTCCTTCATGCCTTACTGCTGATGTCTTGAAAGACTCGTTTCTACATAAAACCCAACATTCTTCATATGGACTGAGTCGTGTAAATTAAATAGCTTAGTCCTGGCAAAAACACGGCTTTGTGGAACTCAGGAAACAGAAATCCCAAGTACTTACTTCATGTTTCACTTGAAGTTAAGCTAACTCCTTTCTTTAAAAAGGAATTATTTGTTTTTATTTTTGTGCTATGAGCATCTCATTTGCACTTATGCCTGTGCACCCCGTGTATGCCTGGTGCCGTCTGAGTTCCCAAAATCTATGGATGATTGTAAACCACCACATGGGTGCTGGGAGCAGAATCTGAGCTCTTGGCAAAAGTAACAAGTACTCTTAACTACAGAACCATCTCTCCAGTGCCTAATTCCTTTCTTAAAAGAGTCCTCCCTCCAGCTGTTCAGATTATTCACAGCGGGGGCAGGATTAGAGAGAAGTCAAATTGGACCCAAGTGCTGGACCCATGGGCCCTTGTCTCTGACACTACAGCTCCCCCTGAAAGTGCATTGTTGGCCCCAGCAGACTCCTCTGAGGCCTGCAGATGAAGCAATCAGGAAGTTCTGGAGAGTGAATGCCTCCAGAAGCAACATCAGCCAACAGGGAATAAATAAGTGGCCAAGGTCCTCAGCTTCTTTAGCCAGAATAAGGATAGTCTAAATAATTCTGGAGCATGCTCTCTGTTATTCTCAGCACTCCCTCCAAAGAGCTCCAGTTGCTCATGGGGGAAATTCCCTAACTCACCACAGGCTTTATTGAATTTCTTTGCATCTTCATTTCATATCTCCAGCAGACTTAAGAATAGACTACTTGCACTCAGATCCTCACTTGGGATAGCTTCTG